AATCTAATTGTTTTAGTATAAATCTACTAGTCGTTCAAAACTTAATCTAAATCCTCTTCACAGACACTTCGAAAACGCCAATAAGCGGCCGTCATTTTGTTAACAAGGGCACACTGCTACGCTACTCGCTATCTATCACAGAATAGATAGTGAGTAGCGTGGCCAATCAGAGAAGGGCATTCGTGATAGAACGCTAGTAGATTTATACTAATAGCCAATATAATTCACCTTAAAATTCTTATTTTAAAAACATTCAATTCTACAAGATATTTTTCGTTATAGGTAGTGTCAGCAGAATGTAAATGAATCATTTGTCAGCTACATATTATTAGTCAGCCACATATATTAAGAAAACTTTTCTTTAAAAAAAGAACTATAATGTTATTCTTTTCTTGCGAAGCAAATCATCCTAACCGTGATGAAGCCGACAACACAGACGCGGGTCAGCACCAGAACAAATATAATGTAGTAAGAGTTGGTAGCCCAGAATGCAAACAGGTACAACGTCTTGTTACAGTAGTAAGCGCTCTCTGGATCTGCGTAGTTCGGCTGGCGGTTTCTATAAATCAACACGTTTCCGTAGACGAAACAAGCGAAGATGAAAGGTTGCACCACTAGCTGCAGTATTGCGTTTACACATCTTTCCTCTCCTTCGGCTCCATCCTGATATCGTGTGCCGTAGGAACAGCAGTTGGCGACAAGACCACCCGCTCCAGCCACAATCAAGTAAATCGGGATCGATGGTTCCACTGGGCACTCGTCTTTATATTTAGCTCCTACAAAGACACAATCCAGTGCGTTATCAATAAAATGATGGATGTTACAGTTTTAAATAATTATGCACGCTTTGTCGCATAATATCAAGTCTAAGGTACATCGTTTCTGGTGATCTGCTCTGTCAAGATAGCTTAGTTGATTTTGTTTCATGAATTTATCGCAGAGTAGCTCTGGCCAATGCAAGCATTCCCTAAACTTCTCCTTTGTTCATTATGTAGCTGGGAATATAGCGTTGGTTTAATTATTTCATTTCACACGTGTGTGCAATCTTATTATAATAAAAAGCCCGAGAAGACTCGGCTGATTTGCCAACCACAGGGAAATCCGGGAGGGGGAGGAATGCCACATGAAAAGGAGGGGGCTGCTCATCGGAAATTTTGAAGAAAAAGCCAATGAGGTACCAAGATCCCGTGTTACGAGTGTGGCTTTAAATTTTTCACCCCTAAGAGGCACCAACTCCAAACCAACACATTAACTGAATGCGCACTCTTTTATTGATAAGTTGTGAAACCCCGGTGTAAATGAGACAGAATTAAAACTCAGTTGATAGTCAAACCTCTCCTTTGCTCAGTACTTTAAAAGGTACTGCGAAAGCTTCCACTGCGGACCTTTTGAGGCTGAACACCCCAAGGGGTACTCAAACCGCTTTTTTTAAACCCCGAAAAGGTACGACGAGCACCCCTGTCCTTTTTATGTGGGAGTCTCCCATCCCTGGGCTAAAAATATGGCGTTCACTCCATCTGCCAGGTATCTGTCTGTCGATGTATGGATATTGAATCATTTTCAAAGCAAATGCAATGAATTAATTCCTAAGTTTGTTTACACTCACCAATTGCTATCATCGAAATTTGGAGGGGAAGGGCCGCCAAACATGAAATGACTAAGGCAGTCAAGGCTTTAAAAGAAAATGAAAGATGATATTTATTGTTACGGCAAACTGAAACGAAAAAATTATAATGCTGGTATATCCTACGTGTTGCCGAGGAAAGGGAGGCAGCTGCAGTTAAGGCTTCCAACATTCTTTGCTTGTTGTTGTGTTCAAGTGTTTGATCAACTTCCTGTCAACATAGAAATAAAAATGCGCATAAAAATTTGACTGGATTAAGTCTTTTGCAGTATGATGAATGAGCTAGTAGATGCTCAAAACTTTAACTTCCTCGACATACATACATACATATACATACATTCATCGCTTTATTTACCCTCGGATTTCAGAATAGCTTATGTAGCTAATATCTCCAAGCATTTAACCATCAGATGAGAGATAGATCACCACACCGGGAACTACGTCCCCTACTCTTTTCGATCAGTGTGTGGGTTTGTGCAAAAGTTGTTTGTGCAAAAATATTTCTTTTTTGCCCATGCAAGCCCTCTGCAGGTCGTTAACGGTGCTCTTTATCTTCGGCATCATTTTGTTCATTGTGCGGCTATGTATGCAATGAATCGCTCAAATAGAAAAATTAACATGCCCTGGGTATACCAGGATAAGAATTTGGGATCATCGATTGTCATTGGGGTGGGGAATTTGACACCATATGGGAGGAATGGGTGAGAGTATGAACAAGTTGCCCAGAAATTATGGTAAGGCTAGAAGATATTCCAGACATAGCCTGCGAGCAGGCTCTCATCGTTGAGGCACGAGCAAAGCCGTCGGCGAACGAAGCGACTTGCTTCGCTCGCCGACCTATCCCTCGCGACTTTGCTCATGACGCAACGCATAAGAGCTGCTCGCAGGCTATTCGAGACGCCACCATATTCTTTATCGTAACATTGTTGCTCAAAAAGAAGGAATGTGTTTTAGTGGTATTAAATACATAGTTTTGCATGTGAAAATTTAGTCACGTTTATCCTCATGAGTAGAAGTTGAAGGCACCTGTTCGAAGGTGTTTTTTTTTCTTTGTTTTTCAAGTCCCGGGGTACCAGGATATTTAATCACCTAACATGATCTAATATGAAAACGTGGTGCCATTTAACATGACTGGAAGTTACAGAAAAGTTCTGTTATTATGTGCGGAAATAACATTGACACACAAGTTGCTATATCGGAATTTTGCCTTGCATCAGAGCTCTGCGATAAACTACTGATAACAAGCAATGCGATAATAGACCATTTGCATAAATGGTGTCTGAGTTTGAATAGCAATACTTTGTACACCTTAGCCTCGTACTTATGTTTCCAGACAAAATATTTTTCACTCGAATGTGAGGCTTAGAATGTGTAAGTATTGTTATCCAAATGTAGGCGCGATTTATGCAAAGGTCTATTCCATAGTTCTGTTTGAGTGAAATGGCCCATCTTCATATAATTGTATCATATATGGTTAATAACGAATAGTTCAGCGTTATAAAGTAGTTTACCACGTTTTAGCGAGCAATTAAATAATAAATTCGAACGTTGTGGATTATAGTAGCATTTTGAGTCCAGGAATGCAAAGGAAAAATTTCATGAGTTCGTTAAAGTTCGACCCGTTGGTGAAAGAAAGTGTGTCGCTAGATGTTTACGCGAAAGAGGGGACGTATTCATCGACGTGAGCCAAGTATCTTAGATTGTACCCGTACCCCAAAGGAACAAATAGAATAACAGCATATATAATACAATTGTTTAAAAGCTGATAATTGTTTGAAATGAGGTTCGGTGGATTTATAGCAACAACACTAACCTGGGTGAAATGTTCTGACTATAGTGCCCACGATCTCTTTGTAACTTTAAATATTTAACCAAAGCTCTTCTTGTGCGGTATTCAAAGTACAAATCAACGACGCGAATGAATATCGTGTTTAGTAAAGGGCAAAGCTAAATATTCACGACACCCGTAATTAGTAATGCAGTAATCAGTAATTGCACCTATTCATGCATAACGTCTCGTCCCCAACC